GGGTCAGCCCGGAAAGCATCTTCGTTGGCTGGGGGATCCCCAGTTTCATCTGCATCCGCAGGGGTGTCCTCGGTGACGACTTTGAGAGCCGGGTCAGCCCGGAAAGCATCTTCGTTGGCTGGGGGAGCCCCGGTTTCATCTGCACCTGCAGGGGTGCCCTTGGTGACGACTTCGAGAGCCAGGTCATCCCGGAAAGCATCTTCGTTGTCTGGGGGATCCCCAGTTTCATCTGCAGCCGCAGGGGTGCCCTCGGTGACAACTTCAAGAGCCGGGTCATCCCGGAAAGCATCTTCGTTGGCTGGGGGGGCCTCGGTTTCATCTGCACCTGCAGGGGTGCCCTCGGTGACGACTTCAAGAGCCAGGGCAGCCCGGAAAGCATCTTCATTGGCTGCAGAGGCTTCAGCAACTTCCTCACAGGCAGGGGCAGCCTGGGCGGCGGCCAGCCCTCCACTGTCCACACAGGCCCCTACTTCCGGTTGGAACTGCTCACCGCTAACTGGGATGGCCTCCCATGCTTCAGTCTCCCGAATCAGCCGCAACATCCCCAGGAAGCCAGGTGGTCTCCTTTCCAGTCGCATCCTCCTCAGCTTGTTCTGGAGCAGCTCGTTCGGCCGGGCCCGCATCAGCACCTGCCTGGCGCGAACCTGGTCTGCGACGACAGGGTGGAAGGCCCCCTTCTCCACGGCCAACTGCAGCAGGCCCTCCAGACGCATCACATAGGCAAACAAAGTCTCCTGAGGCCGCTGAGCACAAGTCAGGAACTTGAGCCGGGCGGTCACGCAGGAGTCCTTGTCCCCAAACACCTGTACCAGCGCGGCCAGGCAATCCTGCGAGGGCATGTCAGGATTTTCTGCCAGGAGGCTGCCCAGGAGCTCCAGCGCGGGGCCACCCAAGCTTTCCAGCAGCCGCCGCCTCCTCTCCCTTTCGGACACGTAGCGCCACGTGTATAGCATGTCATTGGCATGGTCCAGCCAACTCTCAAAGGACTCTTGCTCTTGGTCTGGCTCTTCCAACCCAGAAAAGGCTCTCAATTCCCCAAAGGCTATATTTTCTAGCACAAGTTGCTGGGCCTGATTCCACTGCTGGGTCCAAGATCCTCCCGCATCTATGGCTCCTGAAACCCCCACAGCTCCTTCCTCCCCGGCAGTGCCTGCCTCCCCGGCAGCTCCCGCCATGCTCACAGATCCTGCCATGCCGGCAATTCCTGTGTCACCTGCCGCTCCCTCCTCATCGGACACCCCCCCTTCATCTTGGGCTCCGGCCTCCCGTGCAGCTCCTGCCACTCCTGCCACACCGGCAGCTCCTTCCTCACCTGCTACTTCTGCCACACCCCCAGCTGCTGCTGCACCTGCGGCTCCCTCATGGGACACTCCTCCTTCATCTTCTGCTCCTGACTCCCCTGCAGCTCCCGCCTCATCTGACTCTCCTCCATCTTCAGCTCCTGCCTCCCCTGCAGCTCCTGCCTCACTCACAGCTTCTTCCTCATCTGCAGCTCCTGCCTCCCCTGCAGCTTCTTCATCTGACTCTCCTCCATCTTCAGCTCCTGCCTCCCTGGCAGCTCCTGCCTCACTCGCAGCTTCCTCCCCTGCAGCTCCTGCCTCACTCGCAGCTTCCTCCTCTGCAGCTCCTGCCCCACCTGCAGCTCCTGCGCCACTTGCCTGGCTAGCTGCTGCTTGACTCTGGGGCTGTGCAGGGAAATCTGGTCTATCCTGTGACTCTGAATCAGGGGCCTGGGGCAGAAAGACCACAGGCCAGGGTCCTCCTTCGCCTGGTATCTGTCGAGGGATCAAACTTCGGTTTAAATACTGAGCAAACTCGACCAAGGCGACCTTGCATCCAAGCTCCTTTCTGAATACTTTGCCCAGCAGTCGGTACCTGCCCAGGGGCCACAGGGCAGCGTGCACGGCCTCCTGGAATTCCTGGTCCCCGCAGTCGTCAGGGATGCCCAGGATGAGCAGGGAACGGTGCGCGTTCACACCCATCCACCTGCACCAGTCAAGCAGCATTGCCAGTGGCATCGCCATTGCTGAGAACCTGAGGGTGGAGAGAAATGACTAGATAGGGGCACACAGACTGTCACGGTGTGAGCCTCAGGCCGTCGGTTTAAAGGGGTGAGAGACATGTTCATACCTACCCTACCATAGGCTACCCTACCACATAGTCAAAGCCTCACGTCCCTCGCAGTGGTGGCCTGGAGTGCTTCCACTCTGCATTTTGTTTGAGTTTAGAAAAGTTTTGTGATGATACATTAGTTTATTTACCAGACATAGGCCTAGTCCAATTTTCTATTCTTTCTGACATCACTTGAAGGAAGTTGGTTTTTAGGGACGCCTGGGGGTCTCAGTCAGTGAAGCATCTGCCTTCGACTCAGGTCATGATCCCACGGTGCTGGGATCAAGTCCCACATCGTGCTCCTTGCTCAACAGGGAGGCTGCTTCTCCCTCTGCCGTCCCCTCTCCCTACTTGCGTGTGTGTGCATGCATGCATCACAAATAAATAAATAAAATCTTAAAAAAATAAGGAAAATTCCCCCCCAGAAATATGTCGAGTATTCAAATTTTTGGCATAATTTCTTCCAAAGTATTCCCTGCATTCTCTTTTTAATGTCTGTCTCATCTGCAACAATAACACTCTTCCATTTCTGATGTTGGTAATAAGTATTCCTTCCGTTTTTTCTTGATTAGTCTCACTAAGGCTTTATCAGTTTTGTTTCTCCTTTAAAAAAAATGTACGGCTCTGTTAAATATCTACAATTTGCTTTCTATTATTGATTTCTTCTTTTAGCTATAACATTTTTTCAGCCAATTCATTTTGCATTTAGTTCACTCTTTTTTTTTTTTAAGTTTCTTTAAATGGACCATTGGGTCACTGATTTTATGCCCTTCTTTTCTAATGTACCTACTTAGGAGTAAAACATTTTCTGCTGATTGTTTCTTTAGCTGCCTCACTAACTTGGATAAGTTGTATTTTTTAAATTAATCAGTTTGAAATATTTTCTGAGTTCCTTCGGGTTTCCTTCTTTGAGCCATGGGTTTCCAAATATTTAAGTTTATGTTATTATTATTAATTTTATTTTAGAAAAGATTCCATCTGAGAGAGGCAGCACGCGCACGAGTGAGCACCAACAGGGGGAGGGGCGGAGAGAGAAGCCAACTCCCCGCGCAAGGTGCACGCTTAGCCGACCGAGCCACCCAGGCGCCCCTATAATTCTTAATTTTAAATAAAATTCCCTGAGACTGAAGAACTTATTATGCAAAAGCACAATCCTTTAAAATTTCTGGAGACTTTTTTATGGCCCAGCATACGGTGTACGTGGGTGGAAGGGAACGAGGCTTTATGTTCTGTGGAGAGCAAGGTTTTGCAACTCCCCCTGCTGGAATCCCTCCGCCATCTCGCGCAGAGGTGGGCGGAGCCCCTTCCCGAGCCACGCACGTGCTCAGCCGCCGGCCCCACGTGCCCGCCCATCCACCTCCCCTCAGCGAGGCGCCCTGCTGTTTGCGCAGGCGCAGAGCGTCCTCAGGCTGCGCCCGAACCGAGCGGTAGAGCCCGCCCAGTCTACGGCAAGGAGGGCGCCCCCACGGGCTGATACTGCAGCCTCCGGCTCCGTGTCCTCGCCACACCCGCGAGCTCTGCCTTCTCCCGCCCCGGCCAGGAAGACTCCCCTCCCACACTCTCCACACCCGCAGGCCGTCACCCTCCCTGCACCCAAGCGAAGCGCCCTCCCGGGGGGCGCACCCCGCGCCGGCAGCGGCCCGCTCGCTAGCCTCTGGCCTCGCCCCACACGACGCAGTTCCCCCCGCCAGCAGCGCCGGCAAAGGTGGGGGGAGGCCTTCCCAGTCTCCTCCTCTCCCCCCGCCCGGTTCCTGTCAGGGGTGGTTGGCATCCCTGCCTCCCAGCTCCCACCAGCCCAGTCGCTCCCTCCGGACTCTCCGGCACCCCGGCACCCCGGGGGGGCCTCCCCCTCCCCCACAGAGCAGCCGTTAGCCCTCCCGCCGCAACCCGAGCCCGGCGGGGCCCTCGCCTCCCACGCTCCCACACCCGCAGCCGAGGGCCCGCTCCTCAGCCCCCAAAGCCCCCCCCCCCCCCCCCGCCCCCCCCCCCCCCCCCCCCCCCGCCGCCCCCCCCACCAGGCCCCCATCGCTAGGAAACTTCCATTCGGGCTCCCCCCGCCCCCCAACAGGAGCCCTCTCTTCCACCTCGGCTCCCTGACCGCAGACGGCCCCCGGCCCACATCCCTCCTTCCCCATAACTGCCGAGCCCGTGCCCATCTACTTACTTCGTCCCACTCAGAACAGCTCCACACGCCCACTCCGAAAGGCCTGAAGAGCTCTCGCCAGCCGCACAGCCAGGAGCCGAGTGGTGCAGCCTCCCGAGCACGCGGTGCGAAGCCCACAAGCGCTTCCGGCCGCTCCCAGAAGCCCCCAGGCGCCGGAGGCAGAAAGTTCTCGGGGCGTCTCTCGACCAGGCGAACGATTGGCTGAGGAGGGCACGTGACGAGGCACCGTGTTACTGGAGCGACCTGCCTCGGAGTCTCACGAGACTGATGTTCCGAGATCCGTGTTCCGAGACGGATGCTCCGAGGCTCGCGAGCCTCCCGAAGCAAAAGCCGAGCCGGCGCTCAACGACCTTCCGCCAATGACACGCCTTACCAGCAGGGCAGCGGGATGGCGGAAACTTGCAGATGGAGAGCTCGTTGCGCAAAAATGCTCGAATTTTTTTCAGAAAGTTTATTTTCTATTCTTGGTAATGTCATGAAGACATTCTATATTTTTATTGATTTCTTATCTAGCTGTATCAGTCCCTAAGGCAGAAGTGTTAACATCTCTACCTATAATTATGAAAAAGTCTGTTTCTCTCTTTATTCTGTCAACTTTTGTTTCATACATTTTGAAGCCCTGTGATTGGATACAAGTACATTTATAAATTTCATGTGTTCCTGACTAATTGACCCTGATATCTTTATTACCTTTCAGGTCAGGTAATATGCTTAGTCCTTAAATATATTATGTCTAATATTCATATAGCCATTCCCACTCTCTTAGGCTTACTCTTTGCATGGTATATAATTTGGGATTCTCTTACTATTAACATATCTGAGTCATTATTTTTTTAAAATTGTGTCTCTTGTAGACAGCAAAATCCTTGTGCTTTCTTCATTCTGTCAAATCTCTGTCTTTCAATCGGAGTGGTTAACCCATTAACATTGAGTATAATTTTTGAATGGTAGGATTTAAGTGTATGCTTTTACTATCTGTCTTAAGGGGCTCATCAGGCTGTTATAACAAAATACCATAGACCGGGGTGCTTATGAACAACAAACATTTATTCCTCACAGTTCTGGAGGCTAGGAAGTCCAAGGTTAAGGTGCTGGCACATTTTATATCTAGTGAGAACCCACTTCCCAATTAACAGACAGCCACCTTCTCACCATGTCCTCACAGGGCAGAAGGGGGTGAGGAACCTTTGTGGAGTCTTCCTTATAAGGGCATTAATCCCATTCATAGACTCCTCCCCATGACGTAATCACCTCCCAAAGTCTCTACCTCCTAAACCATTGGGCATGAAGGTCCAGCATGTTAATATTGGGAAGGACACAAACTCTCAGTCTGTAGCACTATGTTCCCTTTTTCCTGCCAGAGATAATCAATTATTTTAAATTCCATTTTAACTTGTCTGTTGCTTTTTTTAAGATTTTATTTATTTATTTATTTATTTATTTATTTGAGAGAGAGGGAGAGCAGCAGAGTGAAAGGGAGAAGCAGGCTCCCCGCTGAGCTGGAACCCCGATGTGGAGCTTGATCCCAGGATCCCAGGATCATGACCTGAACCAAAGGCAGATGCCTCACTGACTGAGCCACCCAGGCACCCCTTGTCTAACGCTCTTTTAAGTAATTATCATTTTGCATTGATTCGTTGTGGTTGCTCTAGAGACTATAACATATAACCTTAACTGTTCTCTTGTCTGCTTGCAGTAAATGCTGTACTACTTCACATAAATGTGAGATTTCCACCAGATAGATTCATTCGCCCTCTGTCTCATCCTTTGTGATGTAGTTGCCATACATATTACATCTACATATATTATAAACCCTACAATAGGTTATTATAATTTTTACTTTAAATAGTCATATCTGTTATAAAGAAATTAAGAGCAAACAAGTATTCTTTAATGTGTGCCTACATGTTTACCATTTCTGGTGTTCTTCAGCTCTACCCAAATATCAAATTTTCCCTCTACTATTGTGTTTCTTTAGATCAAAAGACCTCCTTTATCATTTCTGTCAGCCCAGGTCTACTGATAACTTCTCCCGGCTTTCATTTATCTGAAAAGGTCCTTATTTCACCTTTATATTTGAAGAATCTTTTCCCCAGAGATAGAGAGTTCTGAGTTGAAAGTTGTTTTTTGTTGTTGTTCAGCACTTTAATATGTTGTCCCACTGCCTCCTGATGTTCTGATGAGAACTCGGTGGAGAATCTCCTGAAGGTAGTGCTTCAGCTAATTCTGACTGCTTTCAAGATTTTCTGTTTATCCTTTGTTTTCAGTATTCTTTTTTTAAAGATATTTATTTATTTATGTGACAGATAGAGATCACAAGTAGGTAGGGAGGCAGGCAGAGAGAGAGAGGAGGAAGCAGGCTCCCTGCTGAGCAGAGACCCGATGTGGGGCTCGATCCCAGGACCCTGGGATCATGACCCGAGCCAAAGGCAGAGGCTTTAACCCACTGAGCCACCCAGGCGTCCCTGTTTTCAGTATTCCGACAGTATGATGCGACTACATATGACTTTTCTTTGTGTTTGTCCTCCTTGGGCTCCACAGAACTTCTTGAATGTGAAAATTTGTCTATTTCCGAACTGAAAATGTCAGTCACTTTTTCTTTAAGTAGTTTCTCTTCCCCCTTCTCTCTCTTCTCTCCTCAGATCCCAAATACACATGTTAAACCTTGTCATGTTGTTCCACAGATCACTGAGGTTCTGTTCTGTTGTTTTCTTTCTTTTTTAAATATTTTTTCTTCTCAGTTTCTCA